TGTGGTCGTGTCCAAAGGCAAGGAGCCCCGTGGCGGTAAGACGGAGAGCGAGGTCCTCGTACCACTGCAGATGCTCCCCGAAGCCATGGCAGATGAACACCAGACCTCTGCAATAAGGAGGAGGAAGCACCGTGTTAATTGCGAGGCGTAGGGGGATGGGGGGGGGGGTGGGAGGGAGAGTGGGAGGTGGGATGGGGGTGGGTCTGGGTGGGGAAGGGTTGAGGGGTGGTAGGGAGGAGGGGAGGAAGGTAAGGGGTGGGGGGGGATAAGGAAAGGATTATGATAAAATATTTAAGCAATTAATAATCGATGGTTAGTGAGGGAAGGAGAAACGCCTATATATATATATATATATATATATATATATATATATATATATATATATATATATATATATATATATATATATATATATATATATATACCATATATACATATATATGTATATATGTATATATATATATATATATATATATATATATATATATATATATAGAGAGAGAGAGAGAGAGAGAGAGAGAGAGAGAGAGAGAGAGAGAGAGAGAGAGAGAATGAGAGAGAGAGAGAATGAGAGAGAGAGAGAATGAGAGAGAGAGAGAATGAGAGAGAGAGAGAATGAGAGAGAATGAGAGAGAGAGAGAATGAGAGAGACCAACAGAAAGAGAGAGACCAACAGAAAGAGAGAGAACCACAGAAAGAGAGAAATAAAACAAGAAAGACCGGAAGATAAAGAAAACAATAGAAGTGGAGCAAGACAAACAAACAAACAAAAGACGCACGCCAGCCATCATGCCTTACGCAACAACGACCTCAGCTGGAGTTTCCGAATCATTAGTCTTATTCTATTATGCTTTTTGGCTTTCAACTTGACATAGAGAAAGAGAGAGAGAGACAGAGAGAGAAATGTACAAAAAAATACCCCCTTATCACTCCTAATAGCCCTTAAGGTTGATAACCCAACCTAAATCACCGCGAATCCCGCCCTTAAAGAGCGCTATGACCGCCATGCGCCGAGAAATCATCTTGCGAGGGTATATCCCTGTTTTGCCGCAAGAATTCTGCCGCACTGCTGATTCCTCTACATCGTCTCCGTTTCGCTCCATTCTTGGCTTTGTCTCCTCGTTCGTTTTCCTTGCTATCTCTTATCCTCTGGTTTCGAAAATTTACGGTTTCCTCTCCTTTTATTATTATTGATTTGATTTCAATTTTTATCTATCTATTTTTATCTACTTATTTGTATATATATATATATATATATTTTTGTTGTTGTTGTTGTTGTTTTTTAGGGTGAATTCTTTATTTTTTTCGGCTTTTATTCTGTACCGAGTTTTTTCTTACGTACTTAAGAATATATGTAATTCTTATCTATTCGATTTTATCTATTTATATGTCATGCCGATTCTTCTTGATAGATAGATAGATAGATAGATAGATAGATAGATAGATCGATAGACATATAGACAGGTAGGTAGGTAGATAGATAGATAAATAGGTAGGTAGGTAGGTAGATAGATAGATAGATAGATAGATAGATAGATAGATAGATGGATAGACAAACAGATGAAATGTGAAAAATTTAAATGAAATGAAAATTGAAAGGAAACAAAAATAAACATGAAAATGAACATGAAAGACAATGAAATCAGATGAAAAATAAAAAAAAATGAAGAGTACTACGAAGAAGAAAACAAACAAAGAAGTAAAAGTGTAAATAATTAATAGAAGAGAAGAAGAAAAGGAGGGAAAAAGAACGTCATTAACTACTATAAATTGAGTAAAATAAACGTCACATAAATAAAATAAAATCATACCAAAAAAATCTATCATGCACTTTCACACGCACACATTCACGCTCTCGCTCTCTCTTTCCCTTTCCCTTTCCCTCTCCCTCTCCCTCTCCCTCTCCGTCCCTCCCTCTCTCCCTCTCTCCCTCTCTCCCTCTCTCCCTCTTTCCCTCTTTCCCTCTTTCCCTCTTTCCCTCTCCCTCTCCCTCTCCCTCTCCCTCTCCCTCTCTCACGGCCTTCGCATCCTGTCCTCCCCGCGCCGGTGATGCGCCGATGCACCTCGTCTGGACGACAGTTCTCACGCTTGCATATCATTAACGACAGGATTCTCAAAGGGCTAAACGTGTCATGGCGGACCATTAGCATGTTCCCTCCCTCCCTCCTTCCTTCCCTCCCTCCCTCCCTCCCTCTCCTTTCCTCTGCACTCTTTATACTTTTCTTATCTTCCTTTTTCTTACTTCTTCCTCCTTCTCCCCTACTTATTTTCCTTTTCTGTATATATATATATATATATATATATATATATATATATATATATATATATATATATATATATATATATATATATATATACATAGACATGAATATATATATATATATATATATATATATACATAGACATGAATATATATACATGAATATATATACATGAATATATATACAAATATATATCAATATACATAAATATAAATATAAATTTATATATATATATATAT